AATACAAATAAACTATTTTACATATACTCCACGTGTAAAGTCATGAGTGAGCCGAACATTTGATGAGTTTATGGTGAAGATAATGTAAATAACGGTAGCGCCCGCAGTGCTCTTAAAAAATATAACTCCTCCGAGCGAGAGAGTATTTTGATGTATTTACGAGTTCTATTTTTTTTAAATCTACAAGTGTGTAATCACATTATTTTTATAAATAGAACACAAGAAAATATTTTACCCTTATTTTGGTCCCTCTGAGTTTAGTTTTTGAATTCACCCGCGATGCAAATTTACATTGTTACATCTTATTAGGTGCGTTCGTTTAAAATCTCCAGCAGAAACCAACCAACTGCCCAATTCCGGCGAAATGTCATCTGTTCTCTCACAAGAGAGAAATATCCAAAATAGTACGCGAACAGAAAATTTGCAGAAACTTGCAAGTTAGACGAACAGCTGATATAATTTTTGTTTACATACAAATGTGTAAAATTTAAAACGTACGAAAAGTCGTCGCAAAGTGTTATACTGACACAGTTTATTGATTAAACAAATAACTACTTATTTCTTACAAGTTTAATTAGTCGCATTTTGTAATTTTTATCTTCCAAACCATCAAATTCAATTTTGTGATTTGCGTAAATGCCAACCAGCTGTTTTTAATCAGCTGTTTCCCTGTTGGCAAATTGCTGTTGGCAAAAATTTTTCCAACAGAAACTAACAGCTTCCCCTCAAAATGAAATGTCACTTTGCTCTCTCAATTTCCGCTACTTTGCAAGTTTTTTGCGTACGCGAACGCAAAAACCTGTAAGTTTTGGTTAAACTTGAACAATTAACAGCTACGCGAACGCACCTATTTTCACATTTAATTTTTTTACGAGCTTTGGGAATATTTAGAAATGTATCAGCAGGAGTCCACCGAAACCAGTAAATTTTTGAAAGGGGCCTACGAGAAAAAAAGTTTGGAAACCTCTGGTCTGGACGAATCTTTCAGCTTGCCCATTAGTAGCAGGATGGTAAGGAGCGCCTTGCTTGTGTACAATTCCATTTGACTTTAGGAAAGATAGAAATTTTTCGGAGTTGAATTGTGTTCCATGGCCGCTGACCATGACACGGGGTATGCCATATGTTTAAAAAATTTCTCTGCATTCTTATATTGTAGTTTCCGTGGTCATGTTGTTCACTGCTTTTACGACCGGCCATTTGCTT